AGAGAGAGAGAGAGAGAGAGAGAGAGAGAGAGAGAGAGAGAGAGAGAGAGAGAGAGAGAGCACCAACAGGCATGCAGGTGAAGAAACAGACACAGCAGGATAACTATTATTAAAGAAAACACTTAGACGGACAGGCATAGCAAATAACACGCGCAAGTTACACACTGAAAAAATGATACATGCCGAATGCGAGAAATTAGGAAAAGCACAAAAGGCATATCAGACCTGGCCACGAACTGTCACGACGCAGCAATGCAATCCCAAAAAGATGAGACCATGCCGAATGCCGTACACAGGATGCGTCCGTACAAAAGTCCAATGAGAGCACAAGAACCATGAAAGTTTCGAAAAGACGACTGACACAGAAGCCAACGTCAGTCGGAAGAACCACAATAGATTTTTGGTCGACAAGTCCCAACAAAAAGCAACGCGTAGAACGACGTAATGATCACGAAGCATTCGACACTGGGGCGATACTGAAGGAGAGCCTGACCAGAGACTCATGGCAACGATGATCCGCCAAGTCGCGAGCCGAACAGATGCCGGTAATGAGTTGAACCGTTGGATTGTTTTCTGATCCGGTCACCAGAGGTTACGTTTGTGTGAGCAAGGATTCCGGCGAATCCCCGCTGGAGATCCCTAGCATAATTATTGATACACTTGTTCGAAGCAGAGGTCATGCAAATGTCAGTTGAGCATCTGAAATTGTTAGCCAGGGCACACACAGGTCAAACACAACAGCACTCCAAAAAGCCGAGCGACATAAAGACGAGCGAAGAGCAAAGAGGGCACACACGAGTCGACACAACAGCACTCCAAAAAGACGACATGCCGCAAAAGCAGAGCTCGAATCGAAAACCGGTTAAGAAATCAGGTTTCCAGCAACACCAGCCGCGAAAATCAGAATCGTATGGCCAAAGCGCGAAAGACAAAAGAGCCGGCTCCGTGCGCAGCATCGCGGCGAGGGCGACTAAGCTTTAGAATGATGTCTCAATGCCGCCGTACCCCTCGTAAAGAAAAAGAAATAAAGAGAAAAGAGAGAAAAAAGAGAAACTGAACTAGCTCAAGGGGTTCGGCACACTCGAAACTAGAGGCCAAAAAAAAACAACTGCTTCTGAGCTTCCAGAGTGGACACAACAAACTTGTCGCCAACTCGAATTATCTCCACTGATGTAATCTGTACGCAATCTGGCTCCAATTGCTCTTGAATGTAATCGACAAAGAGTGCATATGCCCTAACATAACCTTTTTAGACTTTAATGGTTTAGCATCTCAAATCCATCAATAGACTTTTTTTTTAAGTTTTTTTTTTCCCTTTCATCTCTCCAATCAATAGGCTTCTTTTTTCAAGTTAACCCCTCAAATCAATGGACTCTATCCAGTGTAGTATCTGCTCTGATCAGTTTAATATGTGACACGTGGTCCATCTGACCACATTCAAAAAAAAAAAAAAGAAAAAAGAAAAAAAGAAAAAGAAAAGGAAAGAAAAAGAAAAGAAAAGAAGTCAAGTCTCAACTAAAGGCTCTCAACAGATCACTCTGGGAGCGACAGATAGATCCAGCGTACCCTTGAACTGAATGCCTTCCAGACTATAGTCTCTCTCCTCTCTTGGTTGCAAACAAGAAAGGAGGGAATCCGGGGGACTATGACACAAAAGAATTGAAAAGAGAGTAGGAGAAAAGTAAACTCCAAGCAGATGGCAGAAGGCCAGACTATACCATACAATAGTTAAAAAAACTTAAAAATTGATTGAGGGTAGAAAAAACTTTTAAAAAAAGTGAATAAAACTGCCGAAAAAGCGACACGACCAAGACTGAAATGTGACATACAAAACTTGAAAAGAGAAAAAAAAATTCACCGTAAAAGAATTTCCATGGCTACGCCAGACCCAGACACCGGAACAAGTCAGACGTTCGGTCAAACCTGTGTCCAGGCTGGACTGCTGCTCCGGACCATCCAGGTTGAACCCATCCTCCAAAAAAAAAAAAAAAAAAAAAAAAAAAAAGTTTGGATTTCTTTTCGGAGGGGGTGAGGGAACAAATGCGTGCTCTCTGGACTGGACACCAGACCCCGGACATCCAGACACAGACCGTCAGCGCTGCAGTCCGCACGTCTGGATCGTGACCATGACAATTCCAAGGAACAAATGACAAGGGGAGAAGTTCCTTATCTAAGTTATTTTTCGTCATTTCTTATTTTAAATACCTTTTAATTTTCGTAGTATTTATTTTTTTCTTTAAAATTTAAATTAATTTTGTGTAAATTATTTTTGTAAATTATGTTTTGATTTATTCAAAATTTATTTATGTATTGATTTCTACAGACAGACAAACACCTGCTGAAAGTTTCAGCAGTCACTTGCAGAGCACACTTGCTCTCTCAGGGTGTACTCACACTGGCTCGGCTTAAATGTATCTGACCGCATTTACAGCTGGACCTGGATGCATCTGGCCTGTAATCATGTCCATAAATATACGAGTTGAGTATGCCCTCACTCACCTCGCCTCGTCTAAACACAGGCTCAATATCATCGTCCACTTCCGCCTCAAAGTCCAGAACCAACATATCCTGCGCTTCCATTAGAACAACAAATCAAACATTTTTGAACATCCAAGCTATAATGTCAGCAAAGCAGATATTTTCTGACATTGATTGACAGATAAGATAAGATAAAGAGATGAAAGGAGGACCGACCAAGCAAAACATGGTCAACGGTGAACACAGAGCAAAATTCAATAAACCCTTCTCATTAAGAAAGGATAAGATTAAAAAAAAAAAAAAAACCGGATAAGATTTAAAAAAAAAAACGGCTGAGATTTAAAAACTGGATAAAATTTAAAAAACGGAAGATAAAGAAACGGATAAGATAAAGATACCATAGTTGCGGCGCATTGAGGTGCCCGCCTCAGCACACGTCTGGCGCACCTCGCACACCGCACCACGCACGGCGCCCGATGCATCGCAAAAAATGAAAAAAAGGTCCGCCCAAAAAGAAAAAAAGTGCGAGGTGTCATGGAACACCCTGCCTCGTGGATATAATTATGCTAAAAAAATAAAAAAAGGTCCGCCCAAAAAGAAAAAAAGTGCGAGGTGTCATGGAACACCCTGCCTCGTGGATATAATTATGCTAAGGGCTAAACCCCTTTCCGACTCACCGGCCACCAAGCCTGACTCACCGTCCACCAAGCCTGATAAAAATAGCCACCATGGTTGGCTATCCAACAACTAACCCTGGTTCACCCGCTTGGTCAACCAAAAACTATTTGCACTCATTTTTTTCCCCGGGTGCTAGACGAAACAAATAGCTTGACAACAGGACAAGTGAGGGGATGACACAGACACACACAAACTAACCAAGACAGATCCATCTTTGAGACTTCTGAGGCCAGTTTACACCAAAAGAACAATGGCAGGTGAGGTGTCATGAGCCTAGAAGGCTACCGTCTTCACCCGAACAGAACGCCCAGTCATTGTCACTGCATCTGGACTGAAAGTTGGGCCAAATGCAGCTATAATGACCATGCGTTCTATTCGGGTGAACATGGTGGGTTGAAAAGCAGGTTGTTGATGATCTGCCTGTCAAACCTCACTTAGATCAAGCTCAGATGTCTCCAATTGTGCGTGATCAGGTTAAAGAGTTTGGAGTTAGGGTTGGTTTGGGGATGGTTTAGCTTGTGTAAACTGCATCCGGTTAGGATCTGGTTAGGGTTGGGTTGGGTTGGGTTGGGCAAATTGTGTCCGGTTACGTGTTGTGTTGGGTTGGGGCTGGTTCAGCTTGGCTGATTTGGGGTTGGTTTGGCTTGGCTTAGGTAAATTGTGTCAGGCTCGTTGTTGGATTAGGTTAGGTTGGGTTGGATTTAGTTCAGCTTGGCTTGGGGAAATTGCATCTGGTGAAGGGTTAGGTTGCGTGGGTTTGGGGCTGGTTCAGCTTGGCTTGGGTACATTGCATCTGGTTAGGAGTTGGGTCAGCATTGACTCGGCTTAACTTGTGTAAAATGCATCAGGTCAGGATTCGGGTTGGGTTGAGTTGGGTTGAGTTAGGTTGAGTTGGGTTGAGTTGGGTTGAGTTGGGTTGCATTGGGTTGAGTTGGTTGGGCAGGGTTGGGTTGGGCAGGGTTGCGTTGCGTTGGGTCGGGTTGGGGTTGGGGTGGGGTTGGGTTGGGGTTGGGTTGGGGTTGGGGTTGGGGTTGGGGTGGGGTTGGGGTTGGGGTTGGGGTTGGGGTTGGGGTTGGTTTACCTGAGCTTGGGTAAAATATGTCAGGTTAGGCGTTGAGGTCGTTTGGGGTTGGTTGGGGTTGGGGTAGGCTCTAATTCTTGGCTTCAGTAAATTGCATCAGGTTGCCTCTGCATTGATAACCGCGTGGTTGGTTTCATGCAACAAGAGCGATGAAAGTTCGAACAAAAGCAGCAGGGCTACCACCTTCTCCCAAATACAACACATCCTCATCAGAACTGTACTGGACCGGAAAGATAGCTTGTATACATTCCTGATCAGCCCTGTGTTGTGTTCGGGGGATGACACTAGTCTAGGGTAATCAGATTCCATATACTCACTTCGCAATGAGGGCTGACGTACTTCTCGGAGACAGACGTCAGAGACGGATTGGCGTAGTAATCCGAAAGCGCCTTCGCATCAGGAAAGCGGAAGAACATGGCATGAGTGAATCCCATCGAACGCTTAGAAACAATCCGRCCTGAAATAGAAAGGAAGATTGCACCGATGGGCCTATCTTCAGTTTGTTTGTAAACCCACGAACTGTTGAAATACAGACAAGAGTTTGAGCTCCAGATGACGATTCCGAATTACCTGGGGCCGGTCAGTTCGATGATGATGGTATCTCAAGGCTGTCGCCCCTTCAAAAAAACAGAAACGAAAGATTGCTTCTAAAAATTTAATCCCAAAAATTTCAGTTCCAAAAATTTCAAATCCAAATTTCAGTCCGGATTTCAATCCTGTAATGAACCCAGCTTCAGAAGCTTAAAATCAAATCTCACATAAACACACTGCTCAACTGAATGACAACAAACACATTGACAGAGTAAAGACACATACAACTACGCAAAGAAGAAGATTGAGAGCATTACCCAAAAAAAAAAAAAAAAAAAAAAAAGGATCGAAAGCATGGAATTATCTGAAACAAAAAAAACAATACAATGTTTAGACTCCTCCCTCTCTTCCGCCAGAATCCTTCTCACTTGTTGCCAAGTCCAGATACAATGCACCCAATATTTGCATCTCTCCACTCCTTCACCACCAGTCCAGATACAATGTCACTTGCCCACTTGCCAAGTCAACCTCTCTACAACGCTGACTATCCCACACTACCACAACGAAGCTGGATTTTCGCTGCCGAGCCTCTGCCGCATTGATTTTGACAAAATCGACGATTTGCGTAATCAATGATAAACCGTCTTTGTTTTGATACAAACAAAAAAGATGGCTATGTTAGAAGGGCGCGAAATGAATTGGAGCGGGCTGTGCAACAATCACATTATTGGCGCTGACTATCCCACACTGCCACAATGAAGCTGGTTTTCGCTGGCGAGCCTCTGCCACATCGATTTTGACAAAAAAATCGGCAATTTGGGTAATCAACGATAAATGGTCTTTGTTTTGATACAAACAAAAAGAAAATGGCTATGTTAGAGAGCGAAATGAATTGGCGCGGGCTGTGCAACAATCGCATTATTGGTGGGGAAGGGCAGCACCCGGGGGAAACCGGGTCCAGCATCCCATGTATCAAGATGGACCTCCCTGCTAGAAATGGGTCCAGCGTCCCCTCTGCATAGGACCACCTAGCTTTGCATCTGGGACTCGAGTCCAGCGGCCCGTCCCTGTTTCCTGCCTGCCGAGTGTGAAGCAATGAAGCTGGAACTCGATATGACAAAGTCAATCTTCTGCGGCAGCATGGAGTCTTCTTCTTCCTCCACATCACGACCATGACAAAGTCAATCTTCTGCGGCAGCATGGAGTCTTCTTCTTCCTCCACATCATGACCACATAGATTGCCTCCCTGAAGCTATAGTAATCCCTTCTCTCTCATCCCCCCTGATATCACTACTGTGTTCACCTGAATACAACCTGCAGTCATTATTGCTGTACCTAGACTCAAAGTCGTCCCAAATACATCTGTGTCTAGACTTGAAGTCATCCCAACTACAGCTACAACACCCGTACGTACGTTGTATTCGGGTGATCGCAGCAGCACAAGTTGCCACACACTGTGTATAGCACGAAGCACCAACAGCATGGAGTACTGGATGATGAATGCCGCCGGTCTCCCTTTCCTCTTGCATTCTTCTTCCTCAGGTAGCTATGGCCGCCAGAAAACAGGTAAGTTTCCTACACCTTCCCGCCAACCCTTCCCTGTGCGCAACGCAACGGTTGCTTCCTCCTCCCGATTTTCACCCCTGTGCATCCTCTTTATGGTGCCAGACAAGCTCTTTAGTCCCCAACACCACTCTGATCCCTGAGCCGCAGGGCAGATGCAACCACTTCTTTTTTTCTTTTTTCTTTTTTTAAACCCTTCATATTGTGGGGGCCACCAGTCCAGTTACTCCCCCAATCACCGGCAAGCACGTATAAAGGGGGTCAATCAAACAGGAAATCAGACCCAGAGGCATCATAATGAGCCAGAAACAGCTTTCCGAGCAGCGGGAGACTACCTAAAGAAGTAACCACTGGTCTTTTCTGCAGCAGCTATGGCTGAGCATTCTGAGTTGCACTCTCTCTGCAGGTAAGCTTCCTTCCTCTTCCCCCCCAAAGCCTTGGGCTCTACCTCAGATCTCCCCTCTTCTCTCTTGTAGATATGGTGCAGCACCTTCTACAGGCTGCGATGGCTACCACCTGCTCTCGCTCTCGTAGCTATGGCAGCCTCTCACTCTCTATGTCTGCCTTCTCTCTCTCAAACTCACTGTCGCAAGGCACCATAGCGCGTCAGTCTTTCCGTGAAGTGTAGCATGTGCAGTGAGCTAGTGCTCTGTCGCAACGGCACGAGCTGGGCCAGACCACCCTTCTATAGTGCTTACTCGGCCTGGTCTGCTGCCTCCAGTTTGACTTCTTGAAAGGGTGAGATTTCCAGATCTGTGTGGGTGGCACAGATTTGGGCGCCGGAAAAATGTGTCCGCGGCTGGACCCAGTGGGCCTTTTGAAAACTTCTGGAAACTGCACTGAGCCTCTTTGGTTTTGTGTGAGATCTGTGGCCGCGGTTGACTTCCTGGGAAATCTTTGAATCTTTGATTTCTGTGCCCGGGTAGGGCCTCGACCATTGATTTTCCTAGAGTCCACTTCGTAACTCTGGAGGCATGAGGCATGAGGTGGCTCTCCCTTTTTTTTTTTCTTTTTTTTTTTGACCCTTGACCCCAGAACTGCCTTTTAGTTTAAAAAAAAATGAAATATTTTGCTGGCGTGACGAAATTGAGCTTGGTAGGGTGTTTTTGTGATCTGATCCTCCTCCGACGACTTGAACTGACCATGTTTTGGCACAGTTTTTTGTCCCGTGAGACCTGATGTGACTCCAATACGCTAACCTGGTCGTATAAGGGACCAGAAGATACATCCAACAGACTGAATTGACAGTACATAAGATGAAGGACGCCATACCTTTAGAGGTACAGCGTCCGTGTACATACATACCCATCATTTCGCCAAAACTCCAAATCTGGCCCAAATCGCTGGGAAAAAAAAAAAAAAAAACCCTCACATTTGTCACACCAGTGACACCACCAAAATATTTAAATTTTAACTAAAAGGCACATGACAGGTGAGTGCACATGAAACACATACCTAGCGAAACCGCAAGAATTGAACGTATCATATACTGCAATGTAAAGACATGATCAAGCATATCTTTCTCCTCTTCCTCTGACAGATTGTCCTTCATCTTAAGCAGCACCACGTGTTCCACCACGATCCTGTGAGTTCAGCCATACACAGCCCCACAGTCAGATGACGCAAATCACCCTTTTTTGCCGCCGCCTTTTGTTTTTTTTTTGGCCGAGGGAACTGGAGGTAAGCAAAGTGTTAGAACTTAAAGGAATTCACACAGGCGAAACTGTTTTTTGATACAATAAAAAATAAAGTCACAAAGATTTGAAAATCACAAACTTCACAAAGTAATCACTCTAATAGAATGATTGAAATATCAATGAACACTAAAGAACCACAAATATGCCCATCAGGTTTGGAAAAGGACAAACAAACCAAAAAAGATGGATGAGGATTTCAATAATTGCCCCTCCTTTACCATACATCGGCAGCGGGCGAGGGGCCCACAAGTTTTGGAGGGCCAGTAATGCAAAAAAAAAAAAAAAAAAAAAAAAAAAAAAAAAAAAAAAAAAAAAAAAAAAAAAAAAAAAAAAAAAGGCGCTAAGGACATTTACCAACGGTGGCAGCCGTTGGGCGAGGCCCCGAAGAATACGGTCTAGGACTCTAGGCTATATTCCCACCTTCCCCAATAGCTTGAAAGGTAGTGGTGGTTTAAAGGATATGATTTTATCGTATATTACAGTATGATTTTATCGTATATTACAGTCTCCAGTCGTGGGACCGTGGTTAAGTGGGTATATTCCCACTTTTCCCATCAGTTCCAGTCCTGGGACTGTGGTTTTAAGTGCTACAACACCGTAAAGTATATTCTGGTTTACTGTGCTATAAATAGACCTATGTTTACTATGCTATAAATAGACCTATGTTTACTGTGCTATAAATAGACCTATGTGCAAGGATTTAGCTCCTCGGCATTGTCTGAAAAGGCATTGCCCACCCTAAGTGAAGGTGGGCCTGCAAATATGTGCCAATGCCTGATTATAGGCCTATGTGACCAGGCCAAGCAGAGCCTGTTGGAATCCCTACGTGGGCTTGGATCTTCGACGAGGCCTTTTTGCGGGTTTACTGGGCCTTGGCCTCACGCCCAACAGTTACCCAGTGCCAGTTGGTTGCGAGGCACTGCATGAGTGACCACAGCCAGAGAGCCTTCTGGACTCTTCCAGGCAGCAATGTCGAAGGAGGCCTACCGGTCAATCAGATCGCAGCAAACAGAAGCAGACACATTGAGAAGTTGAGCCTTCTAACCAAACGGGGCCCGGGGCACGTGTGGTGAGGGCCCTGGGCGCATGCAGTGAGGCCGACATGTCACACAGCAGCCATGCACCAATGGAAAATGCAGTTGTGTTGTCACACGCAGGCCACGAGCCAATCAGAATGCAGCAAACACTTGGCATCTGGTGGCATACTGGGACGTGCCTAACTGCGTCGGGCCCAGGCCAGTATCTGAACTGGCCCTGGGGCGCAGACACCTTGGTCCGATTCGAAGCTACTGGAAACTCCCACGAGCAGGCCTAGGCAGACAGAAGCTTGTCAGCGCTTTCCACAAAGAAAAAGAGTGCATCGTGGTGAGGTATTCTGGCCGTGTGCTTGCTGGCGCCAATGCTGCTGGTTTAAGCGCAGGAGGCCATCGACAGGCCAGGGGCTGGAGGGTGCACACGGGCGCTGGAGGGAAGGGGGGCGATGCTGGAGGCAGCGTCAGTACCCAGCCATAGCCGGTCTTGGGGAAAGGAAAAGCCAGTGGAGGTGGTGGTGGGCTTCACAAGTGGAGGACAAGCTGTGGGAGAAGATGAGGGTGAGCTTTGAGAGGGTGAGTGAGGACGTGATGTGAGAGTACGTACCTGGTCCTGGCGGAGATCTACATGGTCGACATCTGCACGTACTTTGGTTGCGGCTTCTGCTGACGTCAACGGATTGCTTGTCACTTTCGAAGGCTCGTCGAGTAGCAGTAAGTTCGTAGTCTGGGCGCTGAGCCCAGCAGGAGTAACAGCTTCCATTGCATTATTGGTGGTGGCAAGAGGATGCTTTCAATGACAATCGGTTTTCACTGCTTTGGTTCTACTTCGGTGTGTAATATCAGTGCACTTCTACTTTCTGGACAGCTTACGACTTTCAGGCTTTCAAAGTGATTTTGCAATCCGGAATTCTGTCGTTTCGCTATTGCTCATTCTCCCTGCAATTTGGTATCAGAGCTGGTTCAAGCCACTCTGCTGGCTCCAGCACATTGGTGATACGGTGCTGTGCCGCTGTGCCGTGTAGATGCACGGCAGTGTGGTTACTTTGGCGCCGGATTATCTGGTGGCCCACTGTAGGGTGGGCGCGCCAGGAAGGCTACACGGTGGCATTGGGGTGTGTGCTGTGTGATGAGAGCTCGCTGACGTGGCATTTACGCCGACGCCGAGGTGGAACTGCATTATATTGTGGGTTGTGCCGAGTGAGGCACTGACCAGTCATCGTAAATGACGTGCACGCCAGGTTTACTGGTGAGAAATCTGTGGTCGGGGGCGGCATTATGAGGTACATTGCTCCTTACCTTATCTACCCTTTTCATTGCTTCTTACTGTGAGGAAGTGAGTCGAGGTCTTGAGAGTCCTCTCATTATGAGGAGTCATGTGTGCTCAACCTTGAGCGTCAACATTCTTCCTGGGGAGCATGCTTGTGGGAGACCTCGGAAGGGCCCTGGACAAAGAACTTGGATGTCACCATGCCAACCCACTGGGAGTAGAGCACGCATGCTTTGCTGCTGAGTCCTTTGATCTGCCTTGTTGCGCTGTAGAAGTTGTGCTGGGCAGGCCATCCCTATGGGGGAGTGACGAGTACCGGACCGACTATAAATAGTCTCCGCCAGGGATACACGACTCGCACTGTACGTGAGTATAAAAATATTACGGACGGGGCTGGCCGGTTTGACATTGACTTGGGCCACAGGGGTGGGCCTATTGCACACCTTTAGACACACTGCTCAACTAGAGATTTTGTGACGTCGACATTAAGCAACACTCTAGAAGGATTTTGGGGGATGGTTGATCCCAGTTAACTGCTCGAATGTCAAATATTGTCTAATTTCCATTGGGCATACATCTTATGCAAATGATTTTATTTTTATTTTTGATTAGTGAGTTGTGACGGACTGCTAACAACTGACAGACTGCTATAGATAGAATAGTCGTCTATTCTCCAGTCATTGCATCTGTTCAAGACTAGTCAGAAATAGGAACAGGATTACTTGGTAGGGGTCTAAACCTATTTGCTGTGACCGCTTAACTATTTCCTGTGAAATCTGGATGGCGTATTTATTTTTATTTATTAAGCGGTTGGGTGCCACACTGCGGTAGGTCCCAGCGAGGACACTACTGGTAGTTCTGATAGCATGCCACGTGTAGCTCTTGAGTGAAGATGACAGCGAGGTTGAGAAACTAGACCAGGTTCAGAGGAGGATTACCCGTGGACAGGCACTTAGTCGGCCGACCACTTGGTTGGTGTTAAGGCCAGGTGAGGAAAGGAGAAAGCGGCGATCAGCTGAGGAGACGAGGGTCTCACAGCGGGCGCAGGTAGCGGCTTCCAACGCAGAAATGGCACTAGCAGCTGTAGCAGCAGCGCACATTAGATCCAAAGCTGCGGCAGCAATGGCTACCGTTGCTGCAATCGGTGCTAACCATGGTATATCTAGGCCTTTCACTAGTCAGTCCGTTGGCTTGCAGGACAGCCAGCAGCAACCCTAGTCAGTGGAGAACTTTCAGATTACAGAAACGGATGCCCTTCACGCAGAGTTACAGCGTCAGATACAGGAGGTAGAGGATAGTCGAGATAGAGCTAGAAGAAGAAAGCCTACACTAGAGGCGAGGGAGGCAGAACTAAACAGGGTAGAAGCTGTGAATGTGGATGCACCTAAAATACGGGCACTTTGGTGCAGTCAGTGTGGCCGAAGTACAGGCCGTGTAGCAGGGAATGCTGGCCGCAATGATAGCCAATCAGAACTAGATTATTCCGGCTGCGCAGAGAGGCCCCAGGCCTACAGCGACGATTGCACAACCCGTTGTAGCTCCTCAAGCGGTGTCCAGTGCATCCGTGCCACTTCGACCCACTTCGACCTGTCTTTGGACCTCAGTACAGCATATTTCCAGCAGGCGGTTCATCAGTAGGTAGTTGTGGCAGACTCCAGGAGCCGCTTCATCTGTCCCCATATCAACTGCTGCAACTACAGTTCGGCAACCGGGCCAGTAGCTAGTGTGCAACAGGTTAGGCAATTGAATTCATTGCTCTGGTTGTACTCCAGTGTAATATCAGTGCAACACAAACCGCAGAGGACGCCGAACGTCGGCCAAGAGCATTGCACCTCATATCTAGACCACATCCAAAGCAACACAAACCACCGAGGACGCTGAACCTTGCCCAAGAGCATCGCGTCTCATATCGAGACCACATCCATCCAAAAAAACACAACGCCGCGACACTGCACAAACACCACACACCCCAAATCACGGCGAAATCGCTAGATAGCGGAGAAATCAACGACGGCAACGCAATACAAACACAAGCGAAGAGCAAAGAGGGCACACACGTGTCGACACAACAGCACCCCAAATAGCCGACGTGCCGCAAAAGTAGAGCTCGCAAAACCGTTGAGAAATCAGTTCTCCGGCAACAGCAGCTGCAAAGATCAAGATCCTATGGCCCAATGTTCCTGAAAAGAACCGGCTCAGTGCGCAGAGTCACGGGGAGGGCGACTAAGCTTTAGGAGTATGGGTTGATGGGTTGATCAGTGCACTTCTGCTTTCTGAACAGCTAACGACTTTCTGGCTTTCAAAAATGATTGTGCAATTTGGAATTCTGTCATTTCGCTATTGCTCACTTTCCTCGCATATGTTTACTGTGCTATAAATGGACCTCTGTTTACTGTGCTATAAATAGACTTATGTTTCCTGTGCTGTAAATAGACCTATGTTTACTGTGCTATAAATAGACCTATGTTTACTGTGCTATAAATAGACCTACGTTTACTGTGCTATAAATAGACCTA